GGAACAACAACTGGGAAGAGAGGTAGGATTTGGCAAGATTTTGGTCAGAAATAATTTGGGAGTAAAGTCAGTGACTTCCCACTTGCTCTGATAAACTTGACGTGATTTTCCAAGACAATGTGTTCAGTCGCAGTACGTAGCCCAGATATGGTCATACTAGTATCCCCATTTTGCAGCCTTGTGGATCAATTCTTGGCCGTGCTGTGTAAGACGCCGTTGAGCCCGGATCCGGAGGCCTCACCCGACGGCCTACGCTATCACTTCATCGATATTTACCGGGCGGAGCTGGCAAGATGCGGGGGAGATGAGGTAGGCTGCCACCGCCTTCAAAACTCAGTCTCCAAGAATAGGATGATTGGACATGAAGCAATGCAAGCAGAACAGGATTTGCGCCTCTCGTTCAAAAGTGGTTCACACCATTTCTGGGGGACGGAATAACAAAATGCTGCAGACTTATAATAGAGATGCCTCTCTTTGAGAACTCTTGTCAGAAGAATTTTTTGGCAAGTGACAAAGAAAGGTGCCAGGCCAACATTTCAATACTGCCAATATGTGTGTGGCACCTACATGTAGGCAAAGTCCCTACCATTTGGGCATCTTTTTAGATGGAAAATTACAGCTTATCAGCACAGAAATGTGCTCTTTGAGCAAGGCTACTACATACTTTAACTCACATCCCAAGAAAGCACAAGCAACCTTACACAATTTCAATTTGTTGGTTGAAAGTCTTCTTATACATTCATATTTTTATCATAGCTGACTCCAAATGATCAAGTCATGAAACTCATTGATCCATTCTGTGTCCTGATGACGACAACCCATAAGTGAGTATCCATATCTCCAATGTACCCCCTTGGATAGTTACAGAACACTGTTGAAGTCGAATCCATCGTCGGTCCTTGCAACTCCATCACAAGTTATCCAGTCTTGACTTAAGTCGCAAGCTATTCAAATGAACTGTGACAAAAGCATTCCTTTGTTACTGTTCACCCTGTTACTCATGACTCGTAAAGGGACTTGCTAAAGGACTTGTGATTAGCCTCAGCACTGTCCCGTAGTAGAAGTGGAAGCACGTGGGCTTGTGGCTAGGGCTTGTAACTCCCAAACATAAGGTCGGGGGTTCGAATTCAGTAACTAGATACATGTTGTGACCTTGAGCATGTAAATGGGTACCTTTAAAGGGCGGAGAGGGTTGCTCGTATTTGATTGTCCATTTGCACCTGGGACGGCAGCAACATTACAAAATCATAATGTCAGATGTGACAGGTTCAGACAAAATGTTTGACCCCAAAGTTACGGAACAATTCTCATGTATATGCTACAGTGTGTAACAATAAGTTGATTCACTGGCCCAGTGTGAATATCAACTTACGTTTAACGAGAAATGTACACAGAGGTGGGTCCCTATTCGTACACATACACGGCATTGAATAAGACCAGAGCATTCTGGTCGAAACGTCCAATTACAACCCTGGTCTTTTCATTACCGCGCTACTGTCAGAGATATTTCTGTGAGGTCGTCTCATCAATTTGCACCTTGTCACCATTTTCTCCATTGCAGCAAGACCCTACTGAAGGTCATCCTGCGCGGCTTCTTCCAGGAAATCGTGGACGAGTCGGACGTCGGATTCCCGGTGGAGTCAGAGGACGAGGGAATCGACTCGGGGGGAGAGGAAAAGGGAGACGGCGACAAGAGGAAGAAAGAAAGTGAGGAGGACTTGGAGAAGGATGAAGAGGAAGGACCAAAAGAAATCAACCAGAAAAAGCAGTTTGTGCGCAAACCAAGGCCCAAATTAAAGGTTTGTCTGGAGTTTTGCTTCACAATTCTTAAATTGTCCTCCCTACTGGATATTAAGCAATTTACTTAGCATGCGAAACGGTACCACGGTAATCCTCCTTATATGCAAATTGCAGCTGCATACCACATGATTTCATAACGGTTTTTCCTGCACATAGTGCAGACACACATTCCATGAAAAATGACGGTATGTCTGATTTGCCATACCCAATGTAGACTCAATGGTACATGTGGGTGTTTTTATTCTGAAGCAATACGCAAGGTTTATTCTGCAGTGCCAGAGTAGAATTTGTTAAATGTACACGCACCACATCCATTTGCACTGTATTTCACTGATGTTTTGGAAGTGCTTATTTCTAAGTAGAGTTTGTCATGTATTTCCAGCAATGATATCAAGGATACCTTAAAAGTGTTTGTGGAATTGTACCTTCTTAGCCTGGAAATAGCAACTGAGAAAAGACAAAATCCATGGAATCAGGGTGGAACTAAAAAACCCGATCCACACGCCAACCTGAGTGGGATTCGAACCCGTGTCGCTCAGGTTGAAGTGAAGGAAAACATAACTGAGTCAACCTGACTCCCCAAGTTGGAATAAGGTCATGCAGTAAGAACAATAGGAAAGAAAAAAATCATATCGGAAGATGTCTGGAACAGTTCTGATGTTTCTTTTCTCTTCTTTCTAGTATGACTATGGAGCTATTGCAGATCGTCTCTTCACCCTTGCCAGCCAGCAGTCCACCCCAGGCTTGGCCCGAAAAAAAGTGTATGCCATCGTGAAAAAGTAAGTCCAAATTGCCTTCAGTACAAGTTGTGCATGTGTTTGTGGTGGCGTTGACGTTCAGTCATGAGTATTACCATATTCGGGCAGGCCATTACATCACGCATGCATCAAATTCTGACCAATCACAAAGTCTCTTCTAGCAGCCTGCAGAGGATTGTGTTTGTTTGCATGGCATAGCATGGCGTGCTCTGCCTAAGGGTTGGAGTGTATGAAGCAAATAAAATGAGTGGAGTGTTACCTGGCAACAGTCTGATTGGTTGAGCAAACAAACGGGCAGTACAGGCATCATCTTTGTGGTCTAATCTACTCTTCTACCAATGCGATAAGAAATTCATTGTTGCCAGCTCAAGATATGCAGCATTGAGTTGATGGAATATTGTGGGATTTTGCCACAATGTTTTGTCAACAAGGAGATGGACAGTAAAATACAACGTGCCCAAGGAATTAGAGATCATTTTTGTTCACTCTAGGTTCAGAGATTTGACCGAAGGCGTCTTCCCAGACTACAATGTGGGCTCCCTCCTGGACTACCAGGATGACGATGACGAAACCGAGCGCATCTTTGGCGAGCGGCTCCCGCCGGATAAGAAGAAGAAGCCAACCCGTCGAGGTGGAAAGCAGGTTAGAGAACGCAGACTCGCCAAGGTCAAGCTGCAGGCCGCTAGGGATGCGGCAGGCACGGGCAAGCGTTTCGCCGATGTCTCGGACGAGGACGATTGGACTGACGAAGACGAGGAGGACCAAAAGAGGAAGAAGCGGCGCAAGAGGAAGAAGAAGAAGGCCAAGAAAGTGGAAGGAGAGACGATGGAAGTCACCCCAGCAGATGCCGAGCAACAGAAGGAGATGTCGTCTGAATTGGAGGACGCGAAGAAGGGTCTTGATGAAGAAGGTGCACCGTCTGAACAAGCGACCGTCGCAGTAAAGGAGTCCGTCGTCAGTGCAAGCATCGCATTACGAGAAAATGATGTCTTGGAAGCCATGCCCAGCCCAGGTTCAGATGAGGCGGACGGTGGAAGCGTGGAGAAGATGAGAGGGGAGAAAAGGAAGTCAGGGGGCAGCGAAGAGGAAGTCCCAGGGCCCAGCCCAAGTGACGATGGTGCACAGGAGACAGAAACAACCGCTGAAGAAGATCCCAAGATGGGCGTGAAGGTGACTGACGAGGTTGTAGTGGTCGACGTGGCATCATCAAATCCAGTGTCCCACAAAAAGGGCGCTAAAAAGCTTAAAGGAAGACAGGTTCGGCAGAAACAAAGCGTGGATGAATCAGAAAGAGAGGGGTCTTCAGATTTCAGTGCACAAAATGGAACAAACAAGGAGGAAACAAGCACTTCTCAGGAGGAAATCCAGCTTAATGTTTCCGAGGTCAGTGAGCCAAGCCCATCAACAGAGAGTTCCAAGATCGACAAAGCTTCAGCAGCCACCAGCAGCACATCACCAAAACTGAATGCAGGTAGCCAGAAAACAGTGTCAGAAGGAGGGAAGCGAAAGGTGGAGCAGCCATTCGCAGCATTCCAGGCAGTGAGCACACCCCCTGCATTGGTGAGACGAAAGACGGTCAGGAAAGGGAGCGAGCCAAAGACAGAACCGCCAAGAAAAACAAAGGTATACTTAAAATTAAATGGCAACAGTATAAGGCTGCGTGCTAATGAATAACATGGGTACCAGTTATCATCATCATTGGCGCTGATAAACAATTTTAGACTTTGTTCCTTCCTGATCAAAGTTCCAGGATCATTTTGAACATTTCTCTGTGCTCATTTTTTGCAGACTTTTGTTTTTAAGGGTCTAGTCAAGTTGTACACCACAATGTTTTTTGAACCCTCAGTCCTGTCAACTCACCACACAGTTTTCTTCCAGATCCCCTCAGTTAACATCTGTCAATCTATACGTGGCCTGGGGGTTGAATCCCCAATAATACGGCATAACTCAAGATACATTGTGGCCTGATAGGGAACTTTGTACGTGGCTGAGACATGAAAATTTGAGATTCTTTCTTTCTTTTTTTTTTACTTACAGTCGCGACTTTGCGATGACAGTGACTCTGACCAACCCACGCCCAGAAAACGCGTGAAGATAGCGCTTGGCCTGAACAAAGCCCATGGTAAGATTAGTTGTCTTGTGTATTCAGCCTGAGAATGGAATCAAACCCTTTTTTTAGCTTTTCATGCCTGAAAGTGGTAAAGATGCAACCCAGCTTCCCCAAATCAGGCTGGTGTGCACACATGTCCTTTTAATGTTCAATAATTCCTGTATCCCACTGGTGTATACATTTCATACTTTAAAGGTGATCCACAGTGCGAATTTGTCGGCAGAAGAGTTTGGTCGTAACAAGTAGTGAAACTTGTGGAATATGCATTGTTACGTGTCGAGATTACTTAAGTGAACACGTCACATGCACAAATATGTGTAGAAGGCATTAGCACGAGAACCAGCAGGTCAGCTATGCAGGCACGTTCTCCATTCCTTTGTATGGCATTTAGTGGTTCTGCATGACGTCACGCTTGGGTGCTTCACACTGGTGTCATTTTCCTGATAAAAGCTCAGACGCCTTCAGCCTTTGTCACACCCTCCTTTAGCCCGTGGCTGATGTAACATGGCTGCATGTTGTTGATTGTAGGCACAGTTAAGCATGGGAATTACAAGTGATGTATTTGGAGAATTCTCAGACATCTCTATCAACACAGTTGCTTTGACATTGGTTTTACATACATGTACAAACACTGCACCATGTTTGAATTTGAGTGTCCTGTCGCCTGTGGATAGTGGAAAAAATGATCAAAAATAGATGCTGCATGTACTCCCTGCTGCTTTGTGGTATAGGCTTAGTAAAACCTTGATCATTGTGATGGGCACAGCAGCACCTGCATCATTGTAAGGGGCACAGTAGCACCTGCATCATTGTAAAGGGCACAATAGCACCTGCGTCATTGTAAGGGACACAGTACGGCTGCATCGTAAGGGGCACAGTAGCACCTGCATCACTCACTGTAAGGGGCACAGTAGCACCTGCATCACTCACTGTAAGGGGCACAGTAGCACCTGCATCATTGTAAGGGGCACAATAGCACCTGCAGCATTGTAAAGGGCACAATAGCACCTGCGTCATTGTAAGGGGCACAGTAGCACCTGCGTCATTGTAAGGGGCACAGCAGGATCTATGTCACTGTAAATGGCACAGGAAGACCTGCAATATCCACTTCTTGTTTTTGTTTTTTTCGCCCAGCCTCCCAGGACTACAAGAAGCAGCTGGAGTCCAGCCCAGGCATCCCTTTCGATGGCTCCAAGAAACCCACCCAATCAGTCCTAAAAACACCCAGTCCACAACCCCACCCACCTGGCAAGAAGAAAACAGCAACACCCACTTCAAAGACGCCCCGGCGTGGTTCCAAGTCATCCCCTCCAGTCGGCCAAAAGGCCTCCACGCCCATCCTCAAGACTGCCGCGCTGGTCCTGAAGACCCCGAGTCCCAAGGTCATCAAGGAGGTGGATCTTACAACCAGCTCTAGAAAGAGGCGAAGTCCCAAAACTGCGCCCATTCTGCGGAGGTCCTCAAGAATCAAGAAACTAATCCAAATATGAACACTCTGCATTATAATACTGAAGGCTCCACCTCTGACCGACATTACTGTCATCACAAATACAGATGTATTCAGAATCAAAACTAGAAACCAATCTGTATGTTTGTTTATTAATTTACTCAATCATTAATTACATTATAAACAGACAGCTAAAAAGGAATCTTTTCACCCATTTCCTTAGGGAAGTTTTCAATTTATTTTTTAACCAAATTTGAAATGTAGCAAAATTCTGAACTTTTTAACATGTTGACAGCCGACCTCGAGTATACTCGTAGCAACAGGTGTACCGGATTCTGCCACTTCGATTATACCTGTAGGAAACGAAAGGCTTTTGTATTGTGAATTGAATACACTGACGTCACTGAGAACACAACAGATGCGTTGCTAGTAGTGTTAAGGGTACATGTATAAAATACTCTTCCTCAAATTGACTTATTAAATATGCACGCATGCATACATCGCTTGGCAAATGGAAACGTCCCGTGAAACTATGCATGGCAGTCAACGTGTTAGCATTGATTAGTCAAAACAAAAAAAATGAAACTATTTTCCAGCATAGATCGGATGAGGAAAGTCACTCGCTATTTGCATGTTTTGCTGTTCACAGTTTAAAATGAACTTTGGTTTGTAAGCAGCTGTAAAATTTGACAAAGCTTCATGACTGTGTCATTGGCAAAGAAAAGCAGTAACAGTTATTATTTATTGCTTACCAAAATAATGTCATCATGTTAATTTAAGGAACTCGAGGCTAATTACATGAAGGAAGGAATATTTGGAAAACTGAGGGGTAGCTACAGAGTTTGTTTTTTTCAAATCAAAAGAACTGTATAGTCAGGAAAGATTTTCTTTGGGGCTGAAAAGGGCCAGCTTGAAGAAAATGCATTCTTCCTTCCCTTACAAATGTTTTTCCTTTTCTTTCATAATGGATGGGGAGTAAACCCTTTCAAAGTAATTGAAGCTGAGAATAATAAACCATTAGTACTCCGTACCCCAGAAAGTGAGTTTCTGTGAAAGTGCAACAGAACTTGACACTTAACTACGTAGTAACTTTCAGATGCACTAAACTTTCAGGAGTTTTCCAGTCGTCTTGCGATCTATTTTTGAACATTTGAAATACCATTCTCATGAAACACCCATTTTTCAGAGGCATCTTTGTAAACAACGTAGCCCATCGACATGTTCTATGCACGGGGGGCCGACCTGCATGAAGCCCTGAAGCTGATTTCACCATGTACACAATACCCTCTTGCCTGATGGAATTGGAATGTCACAGATGCGTTCATACTGCCTGGCTTCAGGAGGAGATAGGACATGGGACAATAGCTGTAATCTCCCACCCCCAGCCTATACCCAGTCTTCTAAGAATCTTTTCTGGTATCATTTGAATTTGCTGGCATAGTGCTGTAGCTCTGTGTACATGTGCATTTAAAAGTGTGCACTCATATTCTCTTCATGTCCAAATTCAGTAGCTGACAATGGCTGCTGCCGGGGGGAGGGGTATGCATCAATAAATTATGATACTCCACACCTGAGACAAGGCCAATGGCTCCACTATGGGGACGCACGGGTGGCACAATTCCCCCCCCCCCACAAGAGAATGTGCACCCTGGGTGCTGGATCCACTGACCAATTTGAAATGTATCCATTTTGACTTTCTGTGCCCTTGGCAAAAATGCGTGCCCCAGGGTGCCCCGCAGAAAGGTACCCAGTACTTTAATGCTGCCGGAGAAGGCACTGAAAATGAACTAACTGCTAACCATCACAAGTCACCAAGTCTTACACCAAGTCACAAGCTTGATGTATCTGTCCCTTGTCTCTGGTCACCCTGTCACCTATGACTGGTCTTTAAAGAGGACCTCTGACTGGTCCTACTGGGCTTGTGAGGGGCCTTGCAATTGACTTTACAATGAAGTTGACACTGATGGAAGTCCCACGTTTCAAGACCACTTTTCTGTTTATTGAACACCTCAACAAAATGGTTCATGTACATCGTGTTTGTAACGGTAAACTCGAATCTGGTCAGATTAACCGATGGACTATTAAAACTACATGCACTTTCACTTGATGCAATTCTTGCAATTTATTTTGTGCCAAATGAAAAAGTGTGATGAAAGCAGAAATGTGGCAAAACTCTTGCTTCATTTTATAAAGTGTTTCGATGCACTTTATTTTCTGTCTAGAAAGAGTTTTAGAATACATTGTAAAAAACAAAGGATGGGGGAGTTGATTATTTCAGGAATTCAAATAGAAAGCCGACAAAAAATTATTACGACTATTAACAAGCTAAAGATCCACTACATTGATCAAAAAAGACAATTTATTTGCAAATACATGTATGCATTAAACTGTTTTTAGTTTTGAGGGAGTGGAGGTTTCGGGAATCTGTGGTGCGTTGCTCGTCAAAATGTTCCTAGAGTTTAAGAAATGATTTCCCACAGGGAACATAAAAGCGTGGCAGTTGGCATTGCTTGCATGTACGAGAAGGATGAATGTTACTTTATGAATGGCATTTTGAATACCACAAGGACAAAAATCAGAGTTAAAACAATACAGGTTGGATGGAGACTTTCAACAATACATTTCCTCAGACAAATAAAAGTGGTCAGTAACTGTTGAAGTCCGACCGTAATTTCACGCCATGTTTTAGGTTCACGATTTGAACAGCAACTGTGGACTGAATACTATAGTGTCTTCCCTGAGTGACATCATGGCAACAGCGCCCTCTTTGTCAGGAGTACATGTACATGGAGGTCATTCAAGAACAATGCTACACCTGACCAACACTTGCACAAGGTTGGCCCTATTAGCCCTATACCCTCCTCAATCCTCCAAAATCCTTCAGGCAGTTTTGATGGATTGAGGTTGAATGGCAAGTGTGTAGCATATTGCAAAAGATGCCATGCATGAAGGCCATGGGTTAGATCTTGTGCTGTTTTTGCTTAGTCTTGCACGAATTCAGCCCAATATTTCCTTTGAGTCAACTGCACTGCTCAAGAATGCCATTGGCACTGCCTCTACATAATGACAGGGATTGCCATTGAGGATTTTGAAGGATTGAGGCAGTAGGCACACCTCCAAGTAAAATTTCCAAGAACTTTTGGAGGATTTCGGGCAGTGAGGGACAATCTAATTTTTTCATCCCCCCAAATTGGAGGATTTTGGAGGACTGACAAGGGCCCCTTGCAAATAAAGCCTGGGGGTGGAGTTAGAGCAGCTGTACGTCTACACTAGCAGGCATGTGCTAACAACGTTCAAACTGCTGTGACATCAGGTGCTTTGTTTTTTAAATGGTCTTGCCTCTTTGAAGAGCTTATTTTTTGGGGGAGGGCCAAAAAAATTTGGAAATTTTGCAGAAATATGACCACTTGGTTGGCTTTTGCTTCTACCTCCAATTTGTTCAAAATTGACGTACATGTGCCTGTACCTGTATTTCCCATTAGTTTTAAAATTAGTTTGTATTTTCATTTAAAAGTTAGCAGTACATGTATTGTCATCCAGTGTTCTGATAGCTGCGTGGAATCTCCCACTCTGTGAATTATTCTTTCACTTTTGTACCGACAGTCAACCACAGTTCTAGTAGCCACTTGTAGGAAAACCACGACTATAACGTCAAAAGAGCACACCCTATTAAAATGAAAGGCGTCTCACACACGCATACCACCTGTTGACAAGCAAGGTGCTTTCGCAGTTATTTCAAATTCTCTTTGGCAGGTTACTCTGTTTTTTAGAGATTTTCTGGCACCCACAAAACTTGGGCATGCAAATGACTGAAGCTCTCATGCCTGACAACAGAGGAGGTACACTTTTCAGTTTATACTGAGGTAGAAACAAAGCCAAGCAGTGTTCTAACCTGATTTTTAGAGGGAAATATCTTAGATCCTGAAGTTAACAACAGGAGTGCGGGGAAAACCTGACCGGTGGGGGGGGCTAGGAATCTTCCGAGTCCTTGTCTGACCAGAATTCAGAGAATTCATCTATAGCCTTGCGAGCACCAACAATGCATTCCTGCATCATTTTCATTCCTTTGGCATTCTTTTTATACTCGGCCAGAATCTCGTCTATCATAGTGGCCCCGCTGTTGTCCCAGTGACAAATGTGCTCCTTCAGTTGGACCACGCTCCTCGTCACCCGGCTCATCTTCTTCAAGACAGCCTCGATCATTGCAACGATGAGGGAAGTCTCACTGGTCCCCTCCCCGAGGTAAGCGAACTGGACGGGGACCGCCGGCTTGGCGCAGGTGCGAGGGAGGTCCGCATAGAAGTACTGGCAGCGCTCCTCGATGGCCTTGATGTCCTCGGTGATTCGCCGTGACTGCTCTCGGACTGAGTTGACCATCCCCGAGGTGTGAGGGGACGGACAGGTTCGCTCGGGGAGGTCAGCCGGCAGGGCCACGAGGGCGTCCGGAACGAGTGGTGTCGGTCCGGATGTCTCAGAGGGAAGCGGCAGCCCTTGGCTGTGCAAGGGTTGGGACTGGGAACACGCAAACGCCTTCAGCGGAGACATGGAATTGGGACCCTGCAGAGACAATAAACAAGTCTTGGCCTGGCGCGACTTGCTCGGAGGGGACTCCGACTGATTTTCCGTTGAGGGGGGCTGTTGTTGATGTAAGGGCAACATACTTGATAAATACACCTGAGGCTTTCGTTGGCATGCATCGCTGACTGGCAAGTGCAATGGGCAGTTTTGTAAAGATGCCCGGTCGGACTGTGTGGATGGCTGCTGACTGGTTCCATGTCTCTGCGACGATGAGGGCAGCAGCTCTTGAGACCTCATTGGAGTGGGAGATACAGGTAGTTCCTGGACTGACATTTTCCTTGGCATAGAAGTCCTGTCACTGACGATGCTGTCAGCTTTTCTCTTCTTTAAGGAGGATGCTGGTTAAAAGGTAAATAAAGAAATTATGCAATGTTATATCGCAACTTCAAACTAAAAGACTCCACAAAAATTCTATGTTGGTCCTTTAATATATTGTGTGAGGATGGAGTCGTGCTAAGGGGCAACCCCAAGAGCTACTGTATGGGGCTCCTCGTTCTGCCTCTCTAAGCTCGAGCTGGACCAAGAGAGGGCACAATTTTCTTAGCAACAGATGCTCAGTCAGTCGGAACTAAACTTCACTGTTTCACAAACAACCATCAAATCGGTCAAATCGCTACCAACAACATGAACACTCCAAACCAATGTGGCTTTTTCAACTGATGAGGGTGTGCTTCTGCTCAAGGCGGACAGTGCCATCTACTTTTTCCATTCTCAAGGGTATACAAGTGAACTTTTTTTTCTGGATCCCTTTCTCTTGGCCAAATTAAGTGGTTAAAAAAACGAAAATTTACGTGCTGTGTTGTCATCATTTTCGAATAACTTCTGCAAAGCATGTACACTAATTGTCAACGGACAAAATGAAAATGATGAACAAAGGGATGACCCCTACCTAAAACAAAAAATGTTGACCCTCCTCAAAAAATTTACTGTAGGCCTAGGGGCCTACCATTTTTGCAAAGCCCTCTCTGTTAAGAAAAGCTCTACCCCACAGATGTAGTAGGCCTACACATGTACATGTAATTAGCCTCAAAAAAGTATACATGAAGACACGGCAGATGTAGGCCTAGGCCTAGGTCATTTATTTAATTATGTTTAACTGTTATTTTTTTCTTGCAAATAGACCCTCTAGCTGTGTGACCTCTATCCACAAAAACATTTAAACAACGCGGGTCGTGGGTCTATTTCGGAGGAAACAACTGGCAAACCATGTGATTGGCCATTGGTGGAAATTCCAACACAACAGATATTAAAAAGGTCATCGTGAAAAAATTGTGATTGTAAGCAAGAGGAGCACTATTAACAAGTGTTATTACAAGGTTGTTATGGTCACATTTATAACATGTATAACAACAAGGACAATTTCAGGTCGTTGTGTCCCAAGTCTTTGTTTTTCTTTGTTTTCCATACTTTACAAAATAACTTTAAACTAAAGTCCAAAGTGTTCCAATACATACATGCCTAGGCCTACAGTCACGACAACCCCGACAACGATCAACCCAGGCTTAACGGTGTACTACTGCTGATTGCATCAAGACTTCATGATGTTAACCGTCAGACCGTGTGTGGTCAGTTCTTATTTTTGAAACAAAGGCCTAGGTACATTGTAAGAGCACTAGGCCTAGTATCATAAATAAGCTCAGTTGATTGGCCGGGAGCACCGTGCAGCCTTGCGCCGGCTAGCGCGGCGCAGAAACGGCGACCCGACTCCATGGCTGCACGCTGTAGAATCGCATCAGTACAAGTGCAGGCTTTATCACACCCCGATCCAAACAATCAAATTTTTGATCAAACTATCGGAAGAATGGTATCCTTTGGGTGTCTACGTACCTTCACTGCCGTTCATGCTTACATTTAGCATTTACAATGTACGTGTACAATTTCATACAACCTCGACTGGCCTTCGATAGAACCTGGGCCTACATAATACGGAGGCAAGTATAGGACATGAATGAAAAAAAATTGGGCCTGCTATCCGCATGGGCGAAATACATGTACATGTACATGTACTAATACGCCCGGGCGAAATAGTAATCCACCCGGGCAAAATAGCAGGCCCAATTTTTGATTCAGTCATGTACTATATACGCCTCCGTACATATCAGGTACGTCTGGATCTAAAATTATCCTTCACACAAGTTCAAGTTAGTTCGTGCAAGCAGCGCCTAGCGCGAGGTACATACTGTACATGTAACAGCCATTGATCGTTGAAGGCTTTGGAAAATCTGTGACTGGGTCCGAGCCGGGAACGTTTTAGTATGACGTCTGGGCAGGACGTTTTCGGATTGCACTACACCCTTGAAGGACGCGCCCACAGAAAACATGAACACTGGCGCAAATTCGGACTGAAATAGCGCCGCCTGGTGACTCTCGGCGGTTGGCCTCCCTTTTTTCACTGGAAATTCAAGATGATGGCCAAAATGTCACTTTTCGTCATCGCTCTTTCTTCATCGATCAAAAGAGATCGATCGATCGATGTAGGGAACGATCGATTGATGTAAATGAACGATCGATCGATGCAGAAGAACGATCGATCGATGTAGGGAACGATCGATCGATGTAGAAGAACGATCGATCGATGCAGAAGAACGATCGATCGATGTAGGGGAACGATCGATCGATGTAGGGGAACGATCGATCGATGTTGAAGAACGATCGATGTGTTGCCTCCAGGTTTTCGCCTCTTTGGCGTTCCATACAACAATGACAGGGTACAGAAGGAACGCATTTTTCCTAGTTCTGGAACGCGCGTGTAATTCTTTTTACTGTGCGTGATGTCCGATCTGTGCACTTGCGCAGAGTGTGGTGACAGATGTTGGGGTTAGTGCGTGCGTGCGTGCGTGCGTGCGTGCGTGCGTGCGTGCGTGCGTGCGTGCGTGCGTGCGTGCGTGCGTGCTTCTTCTCAAATTGGGATAATTATTTTGGAGTATCTCATTGGGACAGGTTCAATTAATGATTGCATTTCAGTTGATTTCGTGGGTTTATTGAGCCGAAATTAGCATCCATATTTTTCGCGATCCGGAACCGATCCGATCTTTATTTTTCCCCTTTAATATGTATTTTTCAAGGAAAGAGTTTGTCTATTGAATTGGTAAATGGTCGAGTTGACTCGACTTTGAAATCGAGTTAGTCAACGAACGAGTTGGTTCAACGGTCGAGAATTGTATGCGCACAAGTTGACCAGCATTCCAACATTCATATATCCAATTGGTAATGATACCGAAAATACAAGCTGGGAACTGTGATACATTGTCTCAAAAGTTTCTGAATGACCAGTTGAGGAAAACTAAACCAAACAGGTACAACCCCAAGGACAAAACGGCTCCCCGGAATAAACAGTCGTCCCTGGGAGACCATGGGGATAAGGGCACGTAGGTGTGACAACTCTTGTACCGCTGGAAAAAGATGAATTACTCTTATTTATTTTACCAAACATGGGTCACTTAGGAGACATTCCCAAAAGGACGTGCACAAACTTTCCTGTCCCATAATTAAATATTCCCATATCTGATCTGAACCAAACTTTGTCTGTTTTCAATTTAGACTCTAATCTATCATCTCTCAAAATTTGGACAATAAAATCGGCCTCCTGGTAGCTGGGGCATTAAGGGAGACAGTGAAATGTCTCCCCAATGACCGATGTCTCCCTAAGGTCGAAAAATTTACCACAAAATGTCTTCCAAATGACCCATTTATAAGAATTGTGAACACACCAAAGCAAAGTTTGTCGTCCAATAGCACAAACAAGCATTATATTCACCACACTGTTTTATTACAATAGGTTACAGTGTACATGTACACTGTTCACAAAGTAAACGAAACGGCGACCTACATGTATCATGAAAGATGGGAAACCTAGCTTACAAAATTTCTAAATTTCCTGAAAACAATGAAGAGTGTACGTGCTGTCATACAAAGTAATGTATAATTTCTGAATACTATTCTTTTGCTAAAAATACAAGGTAGTGTAGATCAGTAGTAAAGCTGACCTCCAAAAACTGCCATAACGTCTACATGTGGTAAGCAAACAGTTTCTCAGTCATGCGAATATGTACGCTTTTAAGCTAAACAATGGACCACTAAACAGTACTTAAACGAGAAAAAGAAATACAGGCTTTTCACAAGAGATGCCAGATAGGAAAAAGAACAAACTAAACAAAATTGATGTACTCGTGATTCTTGAACACAATGCAAAGGGTAGTTTACCAACTCAAATTGTAAAGTAATAAACTCATATTTTGCCCCGACTATATGTTTTCAGAAAATCAAAAGTGTTGACAACCAAGGTTATTTCTTGGCATCTTGACATTTACCGCAGCATTTCAAAGATGTAAGTTTTTTAAACAATCAAATTCAATTTCTCTTTATGGAACTAACACTTTAATAACAAAACGTGGCAAATTTAGGTTTTGCGAGAACAATCAGCAGTGCCGTGAAATTGAGGGCACGACTTGTACTTTCTAGATAAAGTGTACCTCTGCTTGAATTTCAAAAGTGTACACTAAAGCACTCGAATATAAAAATGGAATCCTGACTTTTATTTAAGAATATCTTTGGCATATTGAATCAATATCATTACTGAACATTTTCCCCTTTTCACAACTGTTAAAAATCGAATACAAATTTCGTTTCTGTATGATTTTAAGCACATATTCCCAAGAATAAATGACACTTTGGCAGCACATAACAGACCAATTGTGCCAGCTAAGTCATGTGACCTGTGGGTTTCAAACATCAACAAACATGGTGTCCTTCCACAGCAACATGCATCGAAAGTGTCATTTACCAAAAGAATAACGTCAAGTTCAAGTCATTTTGGTATGGTGCTCTGCACATCAGTAGTTTGAGTATCGACCGCCGGTTTTAAGTTTTGGTAAATAACACTTATGAAACACTTTGCTCCGGGAGCAGGCAATGTTTGTGGATATTCAATACCAACTACAGGTGACCTGACTTAACAGGTGCAATCGGTCCATTCAACTGCCCTAAAATAATAAAACCGCATTCAAATATCAATTATGTACAGACCAAGTATCTAAATTTGTTTATTAAAAAGTATGTTAAAAAGGTGAAGCCATGTACAACTGACATAAAAAGGTGAAGGAATGATGTTTCACAAGGCTACCTCAGCGATTTCTGTTTCCACACCTTCAAAATACATTCACGAAGCTGGTTCAACCAAAACGAACTCTTATCCTTTGAATTCATTCTTTTGAAGATATGCAAAATTTCATAAGGGTCCCTGTCTAGATCTGCCTGTGTTTGTGCTGAGGCCCTCGTCTTTGGTATAGTCTGGGCACGTAACTGGAATTTTTTGCAAGAGCGTCACCAGGTTTTGAGTCGGGGGGGTTGCAAAGCGCTCATATCTCATCAGCAACGAACTGATAAACCACAGGCAGTGAAAGGGGGTCAAATTTGATGGTTTTCAAACAGGTTTGTCGAGTTTCATAACCAGTCGTCACTTTAATTTCACTTGCTTGCATTTCTTCCCGTTTTTTCTTTTTTTTTCTTTTTCAAATTCATCCCCCTGTACCTCCAGCGGCATCCAGCTTTTTTCACGACTAATGTTGCACACTCCATTTTCACTCTCTACCCCACTTGTGAACTCAATCCTCAACCTTGTGCAATGCATTAATTAACATGGACAGCTCCTAGCTACACATCCTAAGACACTGGGCTTATTAACACACCTTGTGTTTGTTTGAATTCAAATCCAAACACACCACCACCAATCTTTCTCAATTGAAATGTTTCAGTACTCGGTTTCTTTTATGTACTGTCGCTATAACTGCAAAATCAGATCTCTTCTAAACCTGAATACTAACAGACTTGGAAATTTCCCTTTAAATTATCAACACTTTGCAAAATATATACATAAAGAATGTGGCTGGCAAACGCATAAAGTAGGAATACATTTACAGTACGTATATAACAATTCATCCTTAAAAACAGCAATCTAAACCATGATTACTTGACAATTACAATTGGAATCTTATTTCTGAGTAGTACTTTACCTTGATAATTTCCTCCCCTCTCTCCCTTGCCCCATCGTTCCATCCAGGTCTCTCCCTCACCACGGATGCTTGAGCCCCATCCAATTAAACGGCTAATGCATGGCTAATTTATGCCAGCAGGAACAGTTTTGAATCAGGCGACTTTCTTACCAACTGTAGACAAAAACCAGGCTGTTCCAGAAACACTGGCTATGGCTAGGCAAAGCATGCGTGTATATGACAAGGGCTTCAGTGGCTTCAACGGACACGCATCTTTAATGATGCCAGATCTTTCGGACACCATTTCCAGGCAGGGGCTGCTTGCAAATTCAGTTATTAATTAAATGACTGGAAGACATGATGAGATATAAAGCCGTGTCGTAAGTGCTTGGCTGTGGCTGCATTTAACAAAGGTATCCAAGGGAAAATGACTGTAACTGCTAGTCACTGGCTCGGAGCCTCTGGCTACAGTCCAAACGTTAGGTGAAGAGACTGCATGCACATGTATATGAATAACATGTGACCTTAACCCCCTAGGGTGTATCTAAATTCATAATTTAAAAAAATCTGAGGACCGAGAACTGTCAGGGTTAAACATTGAGCTTAGTTTCTTGCACCAGTTTTTTTGATAAATGGGCATGGCGGACATGTATCATGGAGGCAATACCTGCCTCAGTGGATGATTTGATTCCAATATCACGTGAATGATTTCTCGTAAACAATAATCAAAATCTTTGATGGAAGAAGGCTGAAACGACGGATGTAATTATCAGTGCCATTACTCTGTATAGATCATGATTCTGGGTGAAATATCTGACCATTCACACAAGTACGATAAAAATACTCGTATTAAAAATACCTGCTAGACCTGTCTGTGCACTAGAAAAGTCCTCAAACAGTTTCAGTCAGTCCCACAATGTTCATTGGCTTTGTTCTGCTTTTCTGCAGTCCAAATTCTGGTCACTGTATTGGCCGATTGAAACTACTCCTGCAACATGAAGGCACTTGGGCAAAGCCATGCAAAAGTAGAAATTGCTCATGCTGTTGCTGACCTCACCATTATTTGAGATTCATACACAAAAAAATGTCTTTCTGTTTAAAAATTACCGTTAACAAAGGGATTGGTAACAGCGTGACGAATTTCCACTTTTGCTTAGATTTGCCTATCCCCCCCAGAAGTGTTTCAGCATCGACTTCCGTAGGCACTCCCGTCGTAATCGTAGTCGTAGTCATAGTGTCCCAGCTTGCGCATCTGCAGCTCCTGCAGGTGTATCTCAGAGGGTGTCCTTGAATCCAACTCCTGCTGCAGTTGGCTGTGGGGGGAAGGGGAGGGAGAAACGGGGAAAACGGTATCAGAAGTGGCACTCGGTGATTAAGCACAGTTACAAATGAAGCTGGGTGTGAGCTAAGATATCACTTCCACACACAAAACAGAGACTATGGGGAAAATTACTATCAAATCTGCTCTGGTATTGGAGATGATTTTTTTTTCTTTTTGAAGACTATCGTAAATCCTTTACAGAAAAAAAAAGCTAATCTTTGTTTACGTTCTGTGGCATAACTGGATCTCAGTGTTGATGGTTAGGAATCAGATTGCAACCTTCATGAGGGGTAACCAAACGGACAAGTTGAAGGGTCCTGTTTTCAAACACAGAACTACACCTGATATGCAGTGTATACACCTCAACTAAACCTAACTACCCTGAACCAATCAAATCTGTGACAAGGTTTTCCATCAGTTTGACAGACTCGCGACCAAACCACTGACCGGTCACTATTTTTTCACTTGGAGCTTGAAGTCCAGATTTGTAAAAAAAAAACGTGAGACAACCATGTTCCTAATGTGCATCCAAGGGCTCTATCCTTTCATGTGGTGTGACAAAGCCAACTAACTACTGGTAACAGTTAAGCAGCAGAATTAAACACTATTCCATAACTATCAACTGTGCTTTGAAATGCTAGGACTGGGGTTAAGTGGATACACGCTGTAATTTTTCTTGAGGCCTGAAATGGTTTTCTTCTTAAATCGTTACTCTGATATGCTACAACATTAGGATTCAAAAACTACATTCTGGCTGTTCACAGCACTATCAAAAAATACCCTGTAATACAGGAAAATTCTTGGAAAATTCTACTCAAGTTTTAAGCAGGCGTAGAAATAAGCCAGTGCTGACAGTGATCAGTGCTTGAAATGAACGAGAGGACAAAGTAACAGGATTGGCAGAAGCACAAGGTTTCACAAGTACGAAAGTGCAAGTTAACGAAGACAACACACACACTCCACACAAACGCAGCTGTGTGTTTACTGCCACAATAGAGACAACTACCATATCTGGGTAACATCCTCTGAGGGAGGAGGGAAGTGATTTTGTTGCAGGAGCAATATGGGCCCCATGAAGGCTAACCAATTTATTTCAGATTTTAAACTTAAGGGCCGAATCCAAAAATACAGACACGGTATTAATTGAATTCTGATTATGTCCTTGATATTTTGGGGGTTTTGTTATGGAGGAGAAAGTGGGGTTTTTTTTGGGTGTGTTTCTGTGTTTGGAATGAATTTGATTTCAAAAGCATTTCCAGGATTCTTTCACTGGTACAATTTGTTTAGATCATGCCACGGTGAATGAGTACAACATCCAATGACTGACATCTATGAAATGCTTGAAAAAACATGTCTGTAGGAATCCGTGTGTCTGCATATTATTTCTGAAAAGTCCAGCATCGTGGATGGAAAGTTTAGCACTTACAAAAATGCACGTGACTTCTGTTTGCGTAATATCAATTTTCAATTTGGCATGGAAGACGAATGTAATACAAAAAAGGTGGTTGGAGCAAACAGCAAAGTATGTGACAAGTTACGTTTGCAGGGGTGAATATGAGTCTTGACATTTTTGCTTCAACCTTCAGTGGCATGGGAAAAGTTTACGCACACGCCGAGTGTGAATGGGCCAAATTGTCTAGCGCTATCTAACATTTGGAAAACACTATTCTACGTGTATGATGTTTGGATAGGCATGGCTGGGAATTGCAGATGGAAACTCAGGTTCTGAGATGTATATGTATGAATATGGTCCATATCTGATTATGGGATCTATCTATTACTGTAATGCTGTGCTCAGGGCCTGACGGTGCAGCTAAACCCAGAGGTGAAAGATGAAAGTGATGAAAAGAAGATAAACCAAGGCAACATACAAGTTATTGGAGGGAGGCGACCAGGTAGCTGGAACCCTCTCAACGTTAGAGCGATCACTACACCACAAAAGAAGATTAAAAACACAAAAGCACGGTTAGCAGGATAATTCAAGACTGGAAAGGGGAACATCAACCAACAGTGCTTTAAGGTTAGCCCCTGAGACAGAGAGGAAGTAAGGAGAAATTTATGGCGGTAAACGAAAGCCACTTCTTTAATGCATGTACCAAACCTGTTTGGCGGAGGAATAGTCAAGTGAATATTCAAGTGTACACGTACATGTATTTAACCCTAACCCCCTAGGGTGTATGTAAAATCGTAGTGAACTTGGAGGATTTGGGAGTGAAAAATTAACAATAGATGAGGAACACATTTCTGGATGACGCGAAATGAGCACAAAAGATCGCCATGACACAGATGAACAGGAAAGTTTTCAACACTTACACATGTACAGTTCACTTATGAGCAGGGATGCACATGTTGATGGAGTGTGATACCTGTGCATGATCTACAAAACAAAGTTGGGTGCACTTCAGAACTATGCACATGCATAAGCTTTTCCAGTGTACCCAACTTTGTTTGGCAAATCATGCGCAGACATCACACCCCATCATGGCTGGGAAATACAGGAGGTACAGTAAGGTAGTCTCTAAATCAGATGGAAACTCAGGTTCTGAGATGTATATATAAATATGGTCAATGATAGATAGTATAGATTGTAAAGTGTAGATGCACATGTAACATGTTGAAAAATGTGTATGGCTTGGGTGCGTGATCTTTAAATAAACCAAATGGTTTGAAAAGAGGGGGCGGAATGCAAATTGGTCCATAATCTAAGTGTGGAGAAGTACTTCCATGGATAATATTCAAGTACATCGATCGGTCACGCCTTTGAACAAGTCTTGGGCGTGGGCCTGATGCCTGTCACTGTTACCCATTACATGGGTACTGAATACAGGATACAATGGTGTTGGAAGCAACCCCTTATTGGGTGCTTGACCACAAGTTGTGGGGTGAAATCCATAACAGAGATCAATGAACATGGGTGATGATAATAGACCATTCAGGGTGTTTGGCAAAACCCCAACTGATGCAGAAAGTAAGGTGTGAAGATGTATGCATGATGTCACACATTTCTACGTGTATATGCTGGGTAGTGGTGTTTATGTGGAATGGAATCCATGTCATTGGGTTTAGGGGAGATCCTTTGGGATCCTTCAAACTCCATCAGAAAGTTTGGAATTAGTTTGTAGGATTGAGGATTGTGAAGTTCAGCCACGTTTACTTTACACTGTGGCTTGATGAAGAGTTCAGCAAAAGACAGGATGTGTCACTGGCGCCCAGCAAAGCAACGTTGTAGTTCCCATCTCTAAAGACCTCTGTCAGGCCCCATGAGAGCATCAAAAGACAAACACAAGACCTCCAGTCTGAATTCAAGTCACAGGTTATTCAGATGAACAGCAACAAATAAATTCCTTTGTCACCGTCCATCTTGTTGCTTGTGACTGGTCTTGTTCCTGGTCTTATGCCTGGACCAGTGACTAGTCTTGCGTCTGGACTTGTGACTGGTCTTGTGTCTGGTCTAGTGACTGGCTTTGTAATTAGTTTGGTATCTCTTCTTCTGTCTGATCTTCAATGGTCTCAACTACAACACAGCTGCACTGTGGAGGTTTTGGGGGATGAATTATAAGGAAAGTTCCAAATAAAAAAGCTCAGAGGGAGGCTCTGATGTGGAATTTTTCCCCCCTGCTGAGCCAAAGATCCGAGTATAATGTATGGGCCTAGGTGTACATGTACATGGTGGAAAAGGGTGCATGAGAGAGACAAACAAAAGAAGCAAACAGGAAACGTACAAGGTATTGGAAGGAGGGTACCATGTAGCTGGAATCTTTTCACTGTTAGCGCCATCACTACACCGCAAAAGAAATAAAACATAGAAGCATAGTTAACGGGATGTAAGATGGGAGAAAGGGAACATCCGCCACCAGGTTAGAGCTATGTAGCTGTCTTGAAAGAGGGCGCTGTAGGTTACGGCATCTAAAGAGGGAGCCTTGAATGGCTGGGCCATTCATTTGAGGACTATTCTGGTTTGCCTGACTCTGGCAAGCCCTGACTGCTCTGTTATCCCAACTGCAGAATGAACTTCAATCAAGCAAGCAAGTTTTGATTCAATCTCTGGTTTTTTTTTAAATTTTGGACATGAAATTGATGCAATTTCAAATTGTTCGCTATAATTTCCCTGCTCCCTTGAACACAGGCTGGCCCCCAAGGACTCTCGTAGCTGACAGCGCTACTGCTCCTGTCAGATCATTAAAATTAATGAGGGCACAAAAATGGGAAAAAAAGTTAGACAAATGCTGGTGCTCTCATTCTCCTGAAATATGCAAAGAATTTTTGTTGCCATCGAGCATTGTGTAGCTTAACATCAAGCAAGCTGAAATCTTGGAACACGCTCGGTTTTTAAGAATTCAATAGAAATCTCAGATCTCACTTGTCCGCGCAAATTTGCTTTACGTTTGATTTTGTCATGATGCATCCACTGTTGCGAGGCAACATGAAATAGCACAGAAGCATCAAGTCTGGTTCATGAACGTGTGAACGAGGTACGGTCACAAATTTGTGACATCACAAAAAGAACTTGAATTGCAAATTTGCCAAAGTTTTATAACACATTTAAATTTTGCGAAAAAATTTGCCACAATTGTTCACGTTGTGAAATTCACATTTGCACGTACACCCTTTCCTGCAGGACATGAACCGACCTCCACAATGCATTCCGTGCAGAGTGCACAAGAAAGGTCAAAAGCACTGTGCTGAAAGTGTCAATCATGCATTGCTATTGAAAAGAAAAGTGAAATAAGAAGGCACTCCATCTGCAATGCAAAGGGAAACGGTTAAGAAGTGAGGGTTAAACTTGAAACACACTCAGGCCCTGGGAAATCAGAACATTCCGAAATTCTGCAAACAACTGAAAATGGTTACAAGAGGTACGGAAAAGGAGAAAATTATGCACAAGGAATACACACTTTAGACACATGTAAAGAGTACACATGTAAAACGCATGCACATCATTAGTGCGCATTAGAAGCAGTATACACCACACAGCACGAAGCCCCACAAGACAAAACATGCACAGAGGAGCAGCCATATCCCAGTCAACTGTCTTGAGGCTATGCCTACGGCTTTAGTTTTACAACTGGTGCTCTACAAGTGCATAAGCTGTAGCCCACGATAACAATGTCCATTTTGGACTCGGCTAGAGGTCTGCGGGAGAGCCGACCATCCTATGTCTGAATCACAAATATGACGTTCAATGGAATATTTGTAGCATCACAGAAACCGATGTTTGTACAGTCGGTAAGGTTGAACAGTAACACCGATGTCATGACCAGGTTGACTGTTGCTTTCAACAGTCTAGTGATATTCCTGGTAGACACTCTGCCCAGAGGGGGGTCAAGGCAATGAGTGTAGCTTCAAATCTGCCCGTTTCTGCGATATCACAACTGCAGATGGATGGATACATGTGGGGTAGCATGCTTTTTCAGCCATCACCAGAAACGGCACATCTAGAGAAGTACAAACGCCCAAATATTCCGAATGCAAGTCATCTGTGATTCAGACAAAAACCACACCAATGCAGTGCCACAGAACACAAATCCACCACAACTACACATCCACAAACCTACACAACGCTATGAGAATATGTTCTTAAGGTCTCTCTCTAGTTCCATCTTTTCATTGCGGTAGCGGGGGTCCGTGTTGTCAAACAGGTCCGAGTTTGCGTAGGTGGGCTCGCTGGACGGGTACATGTAGCCCCTGTAGGAAGGGTGGTTAGCTGAGGCCGACATCCCGCTGTAGATGGAGGGGACAGAAGGGGGCTGGAGGTCGCCATAGATGGGCGCGGGCAGCGTTGACAGGTCTGTAAGGGGGTGCGTGGTGCTGGGGATTGGGGGAACAAGATGAACGAGGTCTTGTCAACGAGGATTTCCTGTACCAAGTGGGAAATTCTGTGTTTTGACCAGAATCGAATTAGACGTTGTCTTGTGTCTGTTGAATCAAGGTCAGTCAATTTCCAAGTCACTGCAAGACTTATGTATGTACTACGTGTGCTTAAAGGTTGCAGATAGGAAATGTAACATGGTATAGGAAATTGCTTGCAAATGTTAGATTCAGTTTAGTATAGATTTCCAAGCGGCTACGCCGGGCACTGCGGGACAAACTGTTCACACTCTGAAAGACTAATGCTCCCGTGCGGCCAAATAAAGAAACAACGGCCGAGCGATACAGACAAATCCGACGAGGCGCCATTCCCGCACGGCCACTGCACTCATGCCATGTCTTAACTTGAGCGCGTGCAGGCGCTTTGGCAAGTCTCAACACCCTATTGGTCGAAGAGGAATGGAACGCAAGCGCACCATCTGTGTGCGAAGAGGATGGCCCCCGGCAATGGCTTCTAATTTGCCAGATTTGTCTATGACACAAGTCTAAACTGAACAGCTGACTACATGTAGCACTACTATAATATTAGGTTTAAATAATACAAGTAGAAAGGCAGGCAGTGATCAGGTTTATTCAGTATACTCTGGGCCAATTTGAAGGAGCTGCAAAAGAAACTGTTTTTAGTGCACTTTAAATTCAGTCTTGGGTAATTCCAGAAATTAGGGGTCCATTTTATTCGTATCCCTGTCACATTTGACATGTGATCCTGTTAGTTCAGAATACATTTTCTGATTTCCAAGAGTGATGAATTGATGCAAATTACCTGCCAAACAAATTGTAATAGTTTGAAATCAATTCCAGTGATATTAGCATCGCAAATAGCGAAAGTCAGATGTACATCTAACAGGGAGACGAAAATGTCACACTTTTGGACCCCAATTTCTGGAATTACCCATTGAGGGGGCATATACCCACGTTTTCCCAATGAGTAAAATCACGTGAATCTGAAAAGCTTTGGTTTTAAATACCAGAGCTAGGTTACCGGCCAAACTGCTTTATCACACAAATGGAAGCAACTTGGACATGTTCCGAGCGAATTTTTCTTTTTCCAAATCATTGCACAAATGTGTCAAATAATCTCTTCCCACTGCAGCTCTGTAACATCAGGCCCAGATCAACGTATTACACTTGTTGATCTATTCACTTGGCCTATTGCCAGCTCCGCTGTTCAATTCCCTCTCTGTATGCTAGAAATCAAAGCCAGATCCCGCAAATTAATGAGAGCAGTGACGTTAATAATGCAATTAGTAAATGCTGTCTTCTGGAGAATTCTCTGAAAACAAATGCAGACAGACATTATTGAGCAGCGTTGTTCAGATTCCAGATCTGAAATTGCAAACAAGCCAACTGTATTTAGTACACTTTGGGGTGTTTTTGCAACAAATGCTCCTAGACACAAAAAAGGACCTCAGAAGATCTCAAAATTTGAGTTCAAGACGTAGGTTATCAATGCTGAGAACCAAAAAAGTCTGAGTGCTTCCAAACAGTTCAAAAGAGAACTCGGGTTTCCGTGCGAGTATTGCAGTTTTTTCATAAATGTTGTTCTGTCTGCTTATTAATATCCTTTTCAATAAGGATATCATAAGCAGAAGGAACAACTTATTTGAATTATGCATTAGAAATTTCCGAAGCAAAATTAAAATATGCAAGATCCCACACCCGCGTCTGGTTAATTTTCTACTGGGCAGAAGAAAAGAGTCACAGAACAGGTGATTGAAACTTGGAAGAATAAAAAGAGATGAGAGAGGGGAGAGCAGGACTGGAAAAACACAAAACAATCAGCGACGAGACATGGGCAGCGTGTTGAAAATAGAGAAGGAAGGATTGTGGTGCAGTGATAGAATGATGATTTGTGCTTCAGTTTGACGAGGCCTATTTGAAGTGAGAGGGCGACACAATTGAAACTAATGACAGCTACAATGAGAGCCAACACTGGCTTGGTGTCTGCTGCCCACCTTCCCTACAGTTTCACGCACAATCCTCCAGAATAACAGTGACAGATATTGCAATGACAATTACCCTGCAGCTTAACTTCTTACAATCCTAAATGCATCCATCCTCCTGCGTATTATTCAACTAGATATTGATCTTTCAACTTGCTGGTACTAATCGTCCTAAAGATTGAAGCTACGTCAAAATGGGACTTACTCCAGTAATCGTATGTCAGGTACTAGTGCTGACCATAGCATCACCAGGCCAATGCTGATGGATATGTAACAAGTCCACTAACCTTTCAACTTGGATTACAAGTTTGAGTCAGTAATAGGCCTTTTGATATCCCTCCCTCCCTACGGTAATTTCTTGGTTTCTGATGAATTTAACGAGAATGGGGCCGCACAACCGGTTTTGACTCGGGTTATAAGTTTGTGTCGTTACTACCAACCCCTGCAACAATCTGTCGGCTTCGTAAGGGGCTTGCGTCGGCACTCTCCAGCGGTCGTCCGGCAAGCGACTAGTGTGCAAGCTCTGGTACTGGCTGGCTCTGCGGAGGGGGAAACCAGAGAGGGGGACCAGTTGAAAAAAAAAAAAAAAAAACACCCCCAACGGGAGGAATGACCTGCACGTATATCCCAATTGAGATGGATTGATAAAAAATGTCGACCCTCTTTATGGAGATGCATGCGACCAATACAAGTTAGCCCACGAAACATTCAAAATGGTTGAGTAGGCAAATGTGCCCAAAAGGAAATCAACATGTCGTGTTACTATAACCTGGAATTTTCAGTTAAGTGGAAGCTGTAGTGGGGATGGGAGGGCCAGGGCTGGGCGCAGATGCTGGAATGAGTGTAATTATTTGCATATTCTTTTCAGACAGACAGCAAAAGTACGCCAATGTCATTACTGTGGAGAATGCTCCGTCAAAGTCCCAACTCATGTGCAGTATGAAATAAAATGTACGTTTAACCAGAGTTAACAAGGCGTTGCAGAGTACATGTATATTGACTGGTCTTCCAAGGTGATCCCTGCAGCACAATATACAGTACAGGATGGGAGACAACAGCAGAGTTCAGGGATCATAAAGGTAGTGAGGTCATAACAGTGTGAGTGCACAGAATACTGAAGATTTGACGCACTTTGTAAACCACACAGGATGTGCAAATTACTTTTCACGTTAACTTGCAAGTAATATCATGTGAGCCGATTAACTTGCACATTAATGGATGCAAAGCCACTCTGAGATTAGTTCTGGAAGGAGTTAGTTGGTGTACAGTATCTACAATTAAAAACTGAAATGAATGATGCTTCACAGAGCTAGCAATCTGGCAGACGAAGCCTATGACATTGTGCACTGCAGTGCACAGCAGAATAACGAACAGATTTTAAAATGAACTTTTCCATGATGTTACAAGGTGAACAAAATGGTAAGTGTACGTGTACTAACCACAGATGTTATAATTTCAATCAAAGAATGTGCATGCACACAACACTATAGAGGGTTTGCACGACTGCCATGTGGCAGGCCAGTGCTTTTGTTCCACAGGGTATGCACAAAGGAGGTTTCCCAGTAGAACAAAGACACTTCCCTGCAGTTGGCTGCCACGCAAAGCCTCTAAATGAAAGCAGGACATTTTTAGGCAAGAGATGATGTTACCAAATATACATGTATGTAACCCTGGATTTGAGAATGAAGTCTCGTGTTTCTTCAACGTCACATCTTTGTATGAATCAGATCATAGGCCTTTCATTCGGGCAGAGATTAATATTTATGATTATAAATCAGAAAATGGGAGGGAAAAGTTTCCTTCGCTTTGACAGTTTTTTTAGTTTCCATGGTGAATATTGCACCTCAAATCTTCCCAATTTCCCATAACTTTGATGTCATTTTGTTCATTTGTCTGTTTTGTTTTGGAAGCACTCAAGATCTCTTCCTTGAAGTTATTCTCTAAAATACACCACTTACTTCAAGAAACGTTAGGGACTTTAAGTGATTTGCATTCAGGTTTCTCCCTGGTCTCTGGTAGATGTCTGTTGACTTTTTTCTATTTTCCGGTGAATACGGTGTATAAAGGATTCTCAGTCACACGATTTTTGACGGTCAGTATCGATTTACACAGATGTGCACGGAAACATGCCTGCCTTTGAAGTCTCTCAACATGCTTTTGTGCATGAAACTGCCAATAGAAATACGCAGACTCAAACATACATGCACCTGCAAGGCCGTCGTACCCTTCCTGAAATACCTTGGCCCGTCATGTTACATCAAGTGAAAAACCTCCACACGCACAAACGTATTTACTTCTGGTAAAGCATGGCTAGTAATGTATAGTAATTGTTAAGAGATGCTTAAACTAAACAGCAACATGTACATGAACTTGATCGTTGAACGTGATCGTTGAACGTGATCGCCGTGCTGCAGTGTTTCTTGAAGGACTGCATGTACATAAGCATAGTTTTTGTTCTCAAACATGCCGCAGTCGGTCAGCCGGTTCATTACTGCAAACGGCAACAGTTAATTCAGGCAACCATGAAATCCGTAATCAAGCCTGCTTGAGTTTATCGGCAAGGGTTGTGAAAAAAAAAACTGCCATGTTCCCGAGAATGTTCTGAACTGGTCATAACTTTAAGCTCTTTTTCCAGAACGATTTTTCTGTTCCTGGATATCGCAGCAGATTTGACTGATATTGGGTAGCACACTCAACAAGAGCCCCTTACCGCTTCCGAAACCTTCAAAAGCACGACTATTTGAACATGCAAATATTACACTCCTGTTAAGTGACACAAGTCAAGCTATCTAATGCTGGGTTACACATTCATCAACTTTTAACTAAGGTTCTGAGATTCTTCAAAAATCCTCCAGGAACCTCAAGAAGGATTGTGAGGGACAAGGGAATGTGGAGCTTGGCGACTACGCAGTGGGCTTGGTGCCCTTCTGAGAAGTTTAAATACACAGAGCATGCACCACTGGGAGTGTGCGGTGGTCAAGTCCACCACAAGTCCCTGCAAGCCCATCACAAGTCATCCAGTCTGAGACCAATTAAATCACAGAGGGTTTGCGCGCCTGCCATCTTGCAGGCCAGTGCTTTTGTTCCACTGGGTGGGCACAAAAAAGGCTTCCCTGTGGAACCAAGGAACTGCCCCACAAGATGGCTACTCCCGCAAAGCCTCTATTAAAATGGACTGTGACCAAAGCACTCCAGTGTCCTTGTTCAACCCACTGCTGGCTGGTCTTGTCACTGACTTATGACAGGACCATGGATTAACTCAACTACGGCATTGATTGCTGGGATGCAGCGCGGCGGAAAGGTTTGAAGCATTAGGAAGCTACTCAAAATATCTAGAAGAGCTGGATTATAAAATGGCAACAAAATCAAGAAAAAATGCAGATTGTTAACAATTAAGCTATCCTTTGAAGAGCTTGATGACATCTTTCCAAAAAAAAGACAGAAAAAGAGAGTTACAACAGACCCGTCGGACACGGCGTGGCTTTCTGTCTCAAAATCCTTCAATCGCTGCATTGCCATCCGGTTACCCGCTGTTGACATGGCCGCGCTAAATGTCACATAAAATCAAATCGTTAGCAAGCAGATGAACACACAGTTAAAGAAAGTTGAGATATTGGAAAAGTTAGAGGTGATGAGAAATATAAAGACACATAAACATTGTAAATCTACAAACAGCCTTTGATGACTGCATGACAAATGATGAATACAATGAGATAAGTCGCATCCAAGCGGCTTAGAATCAGTGGCAACAAAATTATTGGTTATCAGTCTCCAAATCTTATATCTGTTGAATAAATGCATTTGATGTTAGATCCACCTGTTCTCTCTCTGGTCATAATGGTTTTGACCACAGGTACAGTTCCAAGGACCATTTTTCAAATATTTGGGCAAGTTTCAGCAACAACTGTTGCTGGATCGAATTGTTTCCATGGTAACCTGTGCACAACATTGATATTGGGTACCGAGCAAAATTGTTGGGGGGTCAACGACTGGTTGTCACTCGAACTTGCACAATTGGAACCATATACATATAGCAACATGTGGTACGTATTAATCAGTCCCTATTATCTAGCAAGAACATTCCAGCGGCACCTGTATTCAACGGCTTCCATCTCCTCCTTGGCCTCGGGCGACTGCTTGCCGCACAGGTGCACGCAGATGCACATGGTCAGGCCGCAGCTGTTGGTGCAGTAGCACAGGCAGTCCAGCAGGATCAAGATGACCAGGAAACTGCCCACCACGATGCCGATGAAGGCCGCCAAGGGCAGGTCGCCGATCCGTAGCCCAGGACCTACAATGGTGGAAGGGACGGGGGGGAAGGGAGGTTCAGAAATGTACGGGTGAGAATTTTAATCCAGCCTGGGTCAGAGAGAGAATGGAGCGAGACGGCCCATTTGCCGATTTACATAGCAACATTAACATTGCTTATGGTGTGGATAATTTCCGGCTGTGCTACGCTCGATTTTTATTAAAATGTGACTTGCACGTATTAAAGACACTCCTTATCACTACAAATGTCAAGTTTGAATCTCCATCAGACGCATGGTTTTGATGTTACGGCCATTTGAAGTTCAAGGCTGAAGCCCGAGGTTCAATGTGCCAACCCGCGTGAAAAAGTATACATTTTTTGGCTGACCTGTCTCGAAAAAATGGACTCTGCGATAGAACAGTATGTTTGATTTTCACAAAACTGGTGTCAAAATGACCTCAAAGAGATACTCTAAACACTCCAAAAGACTCGGCTCCTGAAAAAAAAAAAGCACAGCGGTGATATCGGAAAATGTCCCAGCGCCTCAGCTCTTTTAGGGTTAAAGGCAGTTTTTGACCCATCAACGGAATAAGAGCAGATATAACTCACCAAGCGGCTCATTGGATGGGGGCGGGATGGGTGCGCCGCCCGGCATGCGGAAGTTCAGCGTGCCCGGACTGCTCTTGCCCCAGGTGCTGACGGCCCGCAGCTCCAGGAAGTAGAAGGTTCCTCGCTCCAGGTTGGTCAGGGTGTGGCGGAAGACGGGTGCAGTTTCACTCTCTTTGCTAGCGGGCACTGTCAAAGGGTCTCGGCCGTGTTCTTTGGCATCGGCTGTCTCAACCTGCGAGGGCAGTATAGTGAAAGATGGTTTTGTTATCTTTTTCTCAAGCACTTTCCTTAAGTAGTCCACACTAATAACCATGAGTACTGCTACAAATATTTTCACACTAGCACGAGGTGAACAATATCAAAATTTCTTCCTTACAGTTTCATATGAATAGCTGTATATTTCATACCAACAGCTGTCTATTTCATACCAACGGCTGTCTATTTC